TATACTCTTTCTAATGCATTGAAAAATGCTTCAGTAGTTCTGATATCATTATCTATTAGTTTCATTTGGCTTTGGTAATCTTCGTATTTGTATCGTCCTTGTGGTATCATGGCTGCTAATATTACTTGTAATCCTCCTTCGTATGTTTGATCATTTTTTGCAATTTCTTTATTTCTGATAAATGCCGCTTTAAATTTGTGTGCTTCATCTTCTTCGTATGTATATATTGGATTGAATCTCATTGCTTGAAAAGCTTTTTGTTTATCAACGATGTTTTGTGCTGTTATATATCTTTGGTCATTGTGTAATCTTCATGATATTTGTCTTGATCTTGCCTTTCCTGCTGTTGCTACGTTTTCACATACTAGGTTGGCTTGTCCAGTTGCTCCATTACAGTTTGTTCCAAATGTAATATTTAATCCTTTAGCTATTTCTAGTCCTATTGGGTCTTTAATTGTGAATGTATTATTATTTTCCCATGTTGCTTCCCAATCATTTGCTCTTCTTCTTTGGCCTCTTCCTTGGGCATCTGCATTTATATCGCATGGTGTTATACATACATAGTCATTTTTATATTGTTCATATTCTTGATATTGGTTGTATTCAAAGCATGAGTGTGCTAATTTTTCTAATATTCTTTTGTGGAATCCAGCATTGAAGGCTCCTTGTGGTCCTCCATCTGCTTGGTCTATAGCTATGTCTTGCACTATTTCTGTGTTGTTGTCTATTCAAGTATATCCATTAGATGGGTCTTCTTTAAAGTATCCAAGTATTAATAATGCTTCTGGTACGTGTATTTTTATAGCATGAAAGAATGTGTTTCTTAATTGTATCTAATTTCTTCTGTTAAATTTCATTTCTCTCATCATTGTTAAGAAGTTAATCTTTTCTAGGTCTGGAAATTGTATCTTAGTCATTTTTCTTTAATAAAATGGGGTTTGATTTGTGCATTCAAGCAGAATGTGTAATAGTCTCCTAGGTTTAGGTTTGCAAGTTCTAGTCCTTTTTCTATTAGAGTTTTGTTCGTTGCTATATGTCCTAATTGTAAATAGGTAAGTATATTTTCTAATGTTGGAAATATTTTCTTTACTGTTTTGATTATTTTTTCTATTTCCTCGGAATATATTATATGATTTTTGTTCTCAGAGTCTTTTTCAATTAATTTGTTAAGTTCCTTTACTGTTATACTATATAATCTTCTTAACTCTTTGCTGGGTTTATTATCATAGTCGCAGTCATGAGAGTTGTAATATCTCAAGCCTAAATTACAATTAATGCAATGATGTAATGCGTCTTCGTAAAGTTGTTTTCTTAACCAATTTATAGTGTTAATTTTCTGGTGATAATTTCTAGTCTTGTTTTGTTCTTCAAACGTTATTTCTTCCAAATATTTTATTATTCTTTTTTGTTCTTCTTTAAACGTTGGTTCTTTTGATTCTGTGTTTCTTATTTTTGTTAATATTTCTTCTTTCTTTTCTTTGTTGATTAAGTTTTGGTCTTCAAGTTTTTTAATTATTTCGTCAATAAATATTCCAAGTTTGCTTTTAGTTATTTCTGCTTTGATTATTAATAGTAACTTCCTTGTTGATTCACTAGGTATAGCCTTTCTAATTGTTCTGGGTAATATTTTTGTTTTATTTCTTGTAGTTTTTGGTTTATTTCTTTTTTGATGTCTTCAGTTTTTATTGGGGTTAGTCAGATTGATCTGAAGTTTGTTAAATTAAAATCTGGTTTTAATTCTAATTCACTTTGCAATTGTTTTTGGATTAATTTGTCTATCCAATATCTGTGTTTGAAATCTTCTGGTTTTTGTTTTGCAAGAGCTATTGCTCCCAAGATAATTAAATATTTATCAAAGTTTTCTAGATCTCGTTTATTTTTTGATTTGTTGAATTCTTTATAGAGCAAACTATTTTCAATTTCCTGCCGTGCTTCTGTATAGGATATAGTTGTTATTTCTGATTCCTTAATGTAAGTTATATTATAGTTTTTTGATTTTAGTTCTTGTTCAAGTTCCGAATAGTTTATCCATTCCTGGCAGTTGGTCATATAAGTCCTGATTGTTTAGTTTACTTCTTAATACTGTTAGGGTTAAACAAGTTATAGTATTTGGGTTGTTAATCCTAGATTGTATCCAAGATACAGTTTCTAAGTTCAAGTTCTTCTAGGGTTATTATTCTAGGTACTGAATTCTTGAATTGTTCGATTCATTTCTTAATTATTCTTTGGTTTCTTTTTAATTCTTTAATTATGTGTTGGGTATCTACCATTTAGAGTTTGTTGTAGTTTTTCTGTTATGTTTTGAATGTCCTTTAGTCAGTTGTTCGGGGTGTCTTTATATAATTATTTCTTATCAGTAGTTTATTCCAGATCTGAATTTGTGTTACTTGTTGATTGTATTTCATCAATGAGTTCTTTATTTGTGTCGCGTAAACATTCGATAAATGCGTCCCATAATCTTTGTTTATTTTGGCATCTGAAAATGTGTTCAAATAAATGATAAAGTAAGTCTTTCTTATTTTGGTTTTGGCCTGGTATATTATCTTTAAGAATTTGCCAAGTGCATTCAATGTTATTTGTGTGCATTATTTTTAATTTATTTGATCTCTCATCTATATCTGTTATGGTCATTCCTTTATTATGATTTATTTTGTGATGTGCAATACTCAGCCGTTCATATATTTTGTCATAACTTTTGAACATATCTGTATAGATCGTTGATTCTGGGTGTATGTATTTCTGAATTAAGTTTAATAGTGTTTCAGATGTTCTATCTGGTACTACTTCTGCAAA